TAGTTTTTTTTTTTTTTTAACTGTATAAGTATGATATATTTATATAACAATTAATCAAGAAATTTAATTTTGTCACGTATTTTCTATATATTAGATTTATATAGTCTATACTTATATTAAAAGTTATACTATTTACTAAATGCAATATGTAGAATAGTCAACCCTAATTAATGATTTGCTATTTTTATCAAACATTTAATTGATGCATCTAATATTTTTTTTATGCAAATTAAATTAGCATTTAATTAGTTCCTAAAATATTGAGTATGCAATATTAATTTAGGAATATCCATGTAGTTCCTAAAATGTTGGTATGCAATACGTAAAAGAAGATTTTTTAATTTTTTTAAATATAAAATATTGCAATACGTAAAACTATTCCAGTTTTTTTTTTGGTTTATTTTACATATAAAATCTAATCAATATTTAATGCATCTTACAAAATTGGATTTAGTTTAATTCTTCATACAATTGGTTGTACCTTTTTCAGTTGTACTTTTTTTATTTATTTATTTTACACTTTTAAATTAATAAAACTCTCCAAAAATACCAAATCAAATGATTTATGACAGTTTTTTTTTTTTAACAATTTTAAATCTATATACCCAGCTTAAAAAACTCATCGCATAGATATGAACGAGTTTAAGAAAATTTCATAACCCAACTTATAAAATTTCATCTCCACGAGTCAAAAAAAATCACTATCCCGTAACAACTTTAAAGGTAAATAAATAAAAGTCTAATTACTACTATAAATCCATTATCTATATAGATATTTTAAAAATCTAAATTTCACATGTCTAATTACTAATATTTTAGATACTTTTAAATATTATTTGTATAAACTTTTTTACACATTTGCTCTCTCTCTATATATATATACATATATGGAGGTTAAATAAAGAATTTTTAGACATATTTTCCTTACGGGTAGTTTAAAAAAATTTAGGTAGTTTCAAACATTATTTGTGAATAATATAGGCTTTGTTTGGCGATCAGCGGATAGCGGATTGTATTAGCGGATAGCGGATTATATCAGCTGATTTGACTAGCGGATTGCATTAGCGGTTTTTAAATAAGTGTTTGGTAAATAGCTGAAAGCTTATAGCTGTTTGACATTGCAAATTACCAATAAAGACATTTTATTATTTAGGGTGTATTTTTTTAATAATAATATATTAAAATATTTAATATTTTTTAGTTGGTAATTTATAAATATCTATTTTTTTAAAAAAAAAAATTACTAACAATTGATCAAGAAGTTATGAATTTTACATTTTTCTAGATAAATTAATCATATAGATGACATATTATTATTTGTTAGCATCATAAACCAATGTAGATTGTAAAATAAATAATACAAATTAAAAAGTTCTAAATTAAAATTGTAGATTGTGAATCATCTATCCCCAAAAAGCTCCTCTAATGAGCTTTTTCTAAATTAGAGTTTTGGGCTTAAAAAGCTTATCAAATAAGTTATTTACCAAACAAGCTCAATAGCGGATTTGACGGGTCAAACCTCTCAATTAAGTCCAATACTCTAATTTATCCTCAATCCGCTATCTTCCAAACGGGGCCATAGAATATTTTAGATGCTTTTATAGATGTTATAAAATATTTTAAATATTTTTAATATTTATATATCACACTTAAAAAGAATATTTTGCCAAAAAAACATTAAATACACATTGTAAATATTAATAGAAACAGTCTTCAGTGTTCGTCTTGATTTTGTCAAAACAAATCTCATAAAATCGGTGAAGTCAAAATTTGTACGTAAAGTCTATCTATACTAAAAAAAGGTAGATTCAAAATTTTTTTATCTAATTTATTCTTTTCCTTATCTAATTCCTTCTTATTATCTAATTGTATAGAAATATGTTTTTATTTTGTTCAATCCTCTAATTGTATCTGTATTATATCCCATAAAATCAGTTTAACAAAAAAATATGATAAATAAAAAAAGTACGTAAAATCTTTACTAAAATAAAAAATACTTTATTTATTATCTAATTTATTATCTAATTGTATGAAAATCTGTTCTGATTATATAGTACGTACTACAAATTGTGCACCCGTGTTCATGAGCTATTTAACGGGCAAGCTCTGTGGAAATAACTCATTTAGTGCTTCTGTCCCGTGCATACGGTATGTATTTGTATTACACATACTAGAAAAATGTGCACCCCGTGCATCGCACATACTCTGTACTAATAAATGACCTTAAAATTGTGCACCCCGTGCATCACCTGTGTTCACATTTTGGCCCACTACAGGTCACGTACTATATATATCCCATACATTTTTCTTTATTCATTTATAAAGACAAGATAAATGACCTTAATTTTGTGCACCCCGTGCATCGCACGAGATCTGTACTAGTAAGTATTTAAACTAAGACTAATAATTTATCATCCATACAAAATATAACACATAAGAATAATCGTTTAAGTTGTATAATATATGAATATAAAATATTAAGAGTTACAATTTAAAAAGAGTTAGAAGAAACTACAAACACCCAAGAGCGCTTGGATGAGATGGCTTGGGTCTCTTCCAGTTTAACCAGTGGTCTCGTGTTCGAGCCCTGATAATGCAGCAGTGTTAAAACTCTTGAGCCGAGCCCTAGGAATGCAGCAGTGTTAAAACTCTTGAGGGAGAGCTTTGCCGCCTTTGTGGTCCTACCCGGCTCGATTTTGGATTAGTCGGTTCCCCTGTAGATCCAGAAACCGGAAGGTCCCTGTACCAAAAAAAAAAAAAAAAAAAAAAAGAAAAAACTATAAACAATGTGACTAATAAATATATTTTTTTTGCCCAAACTAAGAATTGAGAAAATGTTAATACGTATAACATATTAGTAGATTTTAAACAAAATCTACTTCTTTTGTTTTATACTTTGTATATTTTTACTATCATTCTTATGCAAAGTCTCATATTTTAAATTTTTATAACTATAGATAATTATTTAAATGTGTATTGTGCACGGCCCTTTATTTATTCAAAAATATAATATTATCAATTAGACTATAAAAATAAACTATCAAGCCTCATTATTTATTCCCAAAATATTGTAAAATATTTTTTAGGATAATTTTATTTTCAAACATCAATTTGCTAATTATATTACATTCCATTATCTTCTCTGCAAATGTATTGAGTTTGGTTTGGTTGGGTCGGGTCGAGTGAAAATAAAATTTAAGAATATAGATTACCCGTTTACTCGTCGAGGTAAAAAAAAATAAAATAAAAAAAATAAAATAAAAACTTGAAGGTCAATAGATGTGTAACGAGTCGGGCAGGACAAAATATATTCGGATCCGATTCAAGATAACAAATATTAGCACCCTACCCAAACTCGTTTATTTCCTTATACCAGAAAAAACTTTATTTAATTACAATAAACATAACTAAATAAGTAACAAAAAAAAAGTTACAATCCCGTCACGGAATCATTCCGTGAAAGGTTTTAGCCATTTTTTTATATATACATAAAAGTTAGTTATTGTAGATAATTAATAGTCTCTCACAAAATGATTCCGTGACCGGTAGTCTTTTTCAATAAAAACACTTAAAAATTTATAAATAAGTGCCATTGAAAACAGTGCATTGAGGAATAATGTAATACAATTGTTACTCCAAAAATAATAAGTTAATGAATAATTTTTGGATCCACAACTCAAAAGCTTTGCAAGAATAAAAAAAAAATTCTACCTCATGTTATACTTTTTGTTGTTGTTCTAAAAATCAGCCTAGGCAGTGCCCGAGCGCTTTCGATTTATACAAATCGGCAAAAAAAATCGGTCAAGCGGCTAGGCGGCCCTAGGCACTTATAGGCGGACTTGGCGGGCTCAGCGATCAGGCGGTTAAGCAGCGCCTAGGCGGGCTCGGCGGCATTTTTCAGTTATTTTTTTAAATACTAATTACATTGTTTTGTTATTGTTTTCTTTGAAATATATTAATATTATTATTTGGACTTAGATGTGTCGATTAATTGTAAGTTGATATAGTTTTATTTTGTAGGTAATAAAATATATAAAACATAAGGTATTTAATAATGATTTCTAGGCCCCGACTAGGCGCCGAGGCCCCGTCTAGGCGCTCTAGACGCTGGTCGAACGTCTAGCGGGGCATAGTGACTTTTGCTTATCTATAAACATGTAGTCACAATTAAAAAGTTGTGAGAGTAATGAAGAAAGAAATAAAATAAGAACACTAGTGTAATTTTAAAAAATAATCCATATTCAATCACAAATATTTATCCTCCAATTCAAATACATTTTCTATTTTTATTAGGCCAAACTTGTTTCTTATTTTTCCTCCAATCAAATGTGAGAGTGCTAGCTTATATATCTGCTCTTTATACATGACCCCATTTTTCGAGTTTTATTTTGAAAACTCATATACTACTCGTCAACCATCCAACGCCAGCTGCATTTTGTGTTAGGCACCACAATTGAACAAATGTCATTTGTTCACGTGTGAATTGAACGATACTCTTTTTAAAGTTTAAACCTCGACAACAAAAACATGAAACATCAACAAACCTCAACCAGAATTTAACACAA